AGCCTTTCAATTTCTATATGTAAAAAACTGATAATCTTTTTTTTTTTCTTTCTTTCTTTTAATACTTAGAACAGATAGAGGCTCCCACCCAATATATATTCCACTTGTTCCTTACGTGTGCTTTTTTTCTTGGTAATTGTAGAAGCTTGCAAGGCTTCCCATTTGTTTTATATAGCCTCAAATTAAGTATTGTACTTTATTCAAGAATACTTGTGATCAGTTATGTGAATCTGCAGGTAATTTCTCCAAGTCACGTGATCATGGCATGCAGTTTCAACTGCTCATGTGTTAGTCTTTGTTTCCAAAAGATTCAGCTTTAAAATTTTGTAGTATGCTATAGGGTTGATAGTTGCCTTTGTTGTAGTTTTGTTTCTTGTCCATTTGTGAATCCCCTCTGCAGTCTTACACATCTGCTAACGTGTCAACTGAATTTTCAGATCGATGAAGTCATGACCAAGAAAATAAAACTGCCAAAGGAAACTGAAGAAAAGGAAGTTGAAGTGACCCGGACTAGGACTAAAGTTGTTCCCCTGCACTGTGACATTATTGGGGACCAGTTCTGGGAGGACTATCCTGAGATTCTGGCTGAGGATAGTTGAAGACTCTGCTGAGTATAACTGGTACTTTATGTTTTGCTCTGCTTGGGTTGTTGGCAAGTGAGGAGTATGAATGGTGGCTGGCAGAGTTTAACCTGTAACCCTCTTCAACAACGATGTTGGTTTTAGCACTGTTGTTGCCCGAAAAAAAGACACTGGTGTGTTGTCTGGCATACAAGGATATGCCTACGTGGAAATCTGAAAATCGTATTGTATTTTGAATGTTAAGAACTCATCATAAGACTGCTCCTTGTACACGCATATTCGTAGAAAAAGTGTATAGAAATTTCATGCATTTCTATAGCATTTAAACCATGAGGTATTTTACTGAACTGCCAAGCTATAAAAAAGCTTGCATATTTGAGCAGTTAAAAGCAGTTAAAACAAAAATCTAAAGAATTATTTTCTCCTCTGAGACGGACCAGAATACTTCAGTTGGCACTTAGTATTGAATTTCAAGGCCAGTGTGTTTAGTCAGATTAGCGACAAACTGTTCAACTGCCTAATGTCTCTGATTCTTACAGAAAGGATGGTGGAGTAGCCCAGCAGTTTCTTATGACTGATTTTAAAAGCTTTTGTCAAATGTACAGGATTTTTATACTTCAAAAAAAAAAAAAAGTCTTCCCTACTGTGTTTATTACTTGGCCTTTCTCATTCCTGGGACTTTTACTAATAATTGGTGAAAGTTCCAAATAGTGAAGTGAATAATAAAGATACTGTATAGACTTGAATTCTGGTAGGACGTGGGTAGACGTGCTCTCATCTTCCGTGGTGTCGTGGTTTAACCCCAGCCAGCCGCTGAGCCCCACGCAGCCGCTTGCTTACTCTCCCCCTCAGCGGGATGGGGGAGAGAATCGGAAGGGTAAAAGTGCAAAAACTCATGGGCTGAGATACAGTCAGTTTAACAGGTAAAGCAAAAGCCGTGCACGCAAGCAAAGCAAACCAAGGAATTCATTCACTGCTTCCCCTCGGCAGGCAGGGGCTCAGCCATCCCCAGGAGAACAGGGCTCCATCATGCCTGACGATGACTTGGGAAGATAAACACCATCACTCTGAGCATCTCCCCCTTCCTTCTTCTTCCCCCAGCTTTATAAACTGAGCATGACCCCATATGGTGTGGGATACCCCTGGGGCCAGCTGTCCCAGCCGTGTCCCCCTCAGCTTCTTGTGCCCCCCAGCCTCCTCGCTGGTGGGGTGGGGTGAGGAGCAGAAAAGGTCTTGGCTCTGTGTAAGCCCTGCTCAGCAACGATTCTAAAACATCCCTGGGTTATCAATACTGTTGTGTTTTAACCCAGCAGGCAGCTGAACACCACACAGCTGCTCCTTAAACCACAACTGGTTTTGGCACAAATCCAAAACATAGCCCCATAACAGCTACCGTGCAGAAAATTAACTCTATCCTAGCCAAAACCAGCACCTGTGGGGTGGGAAGGCATCTGGCTCCTACCATGTGGTGGAGTCAAAGGTAGCAACACCCGGAACATTCTGGTGCCTGCAAAGCGGGTGCTAACAAGCACTTGTGTTGCTCTTCTCTGATTTTCCTGGGGGTGACACGGATGCAGCAGTCCGGACAATACGTGTTATGTTAGAGGGAAAGGGGGGAGTGTGTGCTGCCTGGTCTATGCACAGTTGTGTTCTGGTTTAACTACCAGTTAAGACCCTTTGTCAAAACAGTTAAATTGTACAGCCTCTCAGTTCTGCTAATGTGAGGGGGCTTGTCCCAGTGTAACTACTGGATTTGGGGGGAAATAACCTGTTTCAGCATAGAAATACAATTATATAATAGGTATTTATAAGGATATTATTACTGCTTTTAAACGTACTGGTTTCAAAAACCTGGTGCTAAAACAGTAATCTGGCAAGCTGTTGCTAAGGGAGAGATAGTCAGCATTTGGGACTGGCCATAAAAATGGACAGAAAGGATCAAATGTGACTGAAGAAGGTCAGTACTGAGTTTCCCATGGATTTGCATGGCAGCCTGCTGTTTCCCCTTTTCCTGCAGGGAGAACTTAAACATTTAAGGCAATGTGCTTTTTTTTAAAAAAAACCAAAAACTACTAAACAGGTACTGATGTAAACTCCTACTTTGGTGTTTCTTCCTGAGATTAAACAATGAGTCTACGCGTTTATAATGGCACAGGGCTTCCCCCTCTACTGCTGTGTGCGAATCCTGAGCACTTGAGTACACGCAATGAGGGAACGCGTATCACTTTCGGTTTGTAGAGTGGGCTGTGTAATGCCCAGAAGGAGGATGTGAGGGGTTGTGAGGTGGTGATTCTGAATGAATCATTGCACCAGTCATTTACCGCTAAGAACTTCCCGGCTGTCTGTCTGGGTTTTTATGTCTTGTAACACAAATGTCATTTACTTGACTTTGGTAACGCCGTGTGTTACTGTCTGGTGCCTGCCTTCGGGCATTGCATGTAGAGCAGATACTGTTCCCGAGATTTTGGATTTTGCAGTCTGAGTAAAGATGAACAAGAAATTTGGCACCCACGATGCATTCTTAATTATAATGATGTAGGTTTTATATCATATATATTATGACTACCTGATACATAAATTGATATATTGTAGAATGTATGTACATTGCGTGTGTGCATAAAAAATGGGTCTGTATTAGGTCTTATCCTTAGAGCGTTTTCTAATTAACTCATCCTTATGATAATATGTAATTACATACGGATGCAGGCTTTGGAACCAAGATAATGGGTTGTCTGTACAGCCATGGCCTTTAATTTATATTAATATCAGTGCTAGAGGAAGAAACTCCCTGTGGTGTCCTCATACATAGAGGTATATGTACGTGACTTTGTAGCTGTAGGGGAAAATAAAATCTTCCCAGGGTTCCAGAAGTAGACTGGCGTTAGTGGCACACGCAGCTCGACCCGTCCCCTACGCCTGTGCTTGTAGGTACTTCTGTAGCTGCAGCAGTCCCCTGCCGTGACCCAGTGAAGAAAGAGGCGTTTCCTCTGAGGTTGACCTGCCACCTCTGGCTGATGTTGTATTGCCATAGCAGGGAGCATTACACACTCGGGAACCAGTTACAAAAGATAAATGGTAGGTGGTGAATTTACAGTGAAACCACGGACATGCACTGCCTTGCTTTTCCTTCAGATAAATGTTTCCACCCCGTACACCCTTTTACAGATTAAGATGCAAATTATATTGCAACCACCTTTTGCCCAGGTGCCATCGCGTCGCCTGGGGCAGGTGGAGCGGGGTCCCGGGCGGAGGGAGGCCCAAACGCGCGCACCAGGACTGGAGTTAACTGAAGGCGCAGCGAGGGGCGCAACGCCGGGGGTCCCGCGGCCGCCCGCAGCCCCGCCCTTCGG